CTTCTAATCTTATGAATTTCTATTATTACCTTTCTGCTATGAATTACTTAGCCATGTCTGAGTAGATTCATTTGTTAGATTTAGGGTTCAAATAGTTATGAAGGATTAGCCCCAACTATGGAATGTTGAGTTGTGATATTCATTATCCAGATGAACCCTAATGCTTACTCTAGAGTACCTAACTAGAGTATGATCATAGAGTGATTTAACTTGTTAATCATTATCCTGAAATCATTTGACATAAGCTTAGATCCTCTAGGGATATGCGAGAGCCGGTCTATGATCTTGGTGAACACAGTTTCGATTCGATCTTATGTTATATCGATCGATACTCCTATAGAGTTATCGATCGACGGCAACCCATATCGTCCGATATCGCTGTCAAAACATCGGTCGATATTGCCAGCAGTAAGATCAATGGACAAGTCTATATAGCGACTGGTATTAGATCTGTCTAAGAATCGAAGTTCTTATATATCTTGCAAGCAACTTACTAAAACATATGTAGCATTATAATCTTGACTATCTGAATAGCAACCTTGAATCTAACTACTTTCTTTTATTGCTTTAAAGTAAAACCTAATCTCTTGAGAAACATATCATTGCTCACAACTGCAATTTACTATTTTAAACTGAATCAACCTAGCATAATCATTTAGGATTACATCTTTTGTGTTCCTCAGTTTCCTGTGGATTCGATCTCAAAGTACTACAACTGAGCCTCTTATTTGAGAGAGTATTTCACTCCTTAGGGTTAAATATTTGAGTGATATCAATATTTGAAGGAGAAGCTTAACATTACCAAAGCCGTGATGACGTGTCAAAAAGTTGACTTTTTTACCAATCCGCCCGAAAACCGTTTTAAACCGTTCGAAGGTCATTCTGACTAGAAATTTTGATCTGATTTCAGATTTGGGATCTATTTGAGCAGATGAAGTTCATAGAAACCACTTCTCCAAGTTTCTAAGGTTAGGGTATACTTCCAAACAATTCGTACGCGACTTAGAACTTTAAATAAATATAATTTACTTATATTATGTTTCGTCTGTCATTGATTGTTTAGTGTCTAGGTTCTTTGCTTAATCCGGAACTAGGGTGTTAGATGGTTCAACATTGATTGCTTCGCTAAATGTAAACTAATTAGCTTCAATTGTTTGGCCGGGTACAGAAACGGACTTCTGTATGCCGGATTGTATGAGCGGTTACGGCCAGCTATAGTCGGCCGGCTGGACCGTAACCTGGAAGCATTTACAAAATGTCTACGGGCGGTATCCGAGCACTATCTCAAGTTGTTATACCCCAGTGTGGGAAGTGTTATTTTTGGCCCGTTAGTGGGCGGCGAGTGCGCGCCTCGCTAGGACCATTGTTTGTTTGCTTGGGTACTTTAGGTACCGTGTTTGTACATATTAGAATTAAATTATATTTATTTGGAGTGCTATGTATGGGTCTACGGACTTCGGGGTAGCATCCCATACCTCATTGAGCGACTCCCCTATTGCTCACCCCTCTTTCTTCCCCTTGCAGGTGAGACTGATCAGCAAGAGTGACCATATCGGACCGGTGCTATTGGGCTTTTGGGCTTCTATCGTATTTTATCTTATTTTATCGTTACCAGGCTTATAAGCCTTCCGACTTTTATCGCTTATGTTATTTCGTATTTCAGATTTTCGGTTTATGTTGTTGACGTTATTATGAATGTTGTGTATTAGGCCTCGGGCCGGCTTATGTATAGGACTTTCATGTAAGATGAAATATGTTTACTTTAAGTATTATTATTAAATCCAATGTTTTCAGTAATTATCAATTAAGTATATTACTAGGATAAGACCTGCGCCTTGCGCAGGGTGAATATATGTAATTAAAATATAAAATTTTAGTATTGACAAATTTAAAATTTACATATGATTTTTTTTGTATGTATTTGAAATTGTAGAATTTTGGAATTTTTATATAATTATCTGTACGTAGGATCAGAAACAATTTTAATTAGAAATGTAGATCAAATCTTAGAATTTAATGGATCTGATTTCATAAATCTTTTTACTTTTCAGTGTTCGAGTGATGAAAAATAAATGGAGTGTCACTGGGCTTGATTGGTAGAGTATTAGCAAGTTCCCTAAGGTTTTTTAAGAAGCAATTAGTAAAATATTTGCATTCAAAATATATAAAGTTTCTAAACTAATTTAATATATTTATTTATTTGTCTAATAATATTAGAAAATTATATTTTTACAAATTATTATTTTTTAAAATAATTGTTTAAAAAAATATTTTAAATTATAAATTATTTTTAAAAACAATATTTTAAGTATTTCAAAAAATAAACAATTTAAAATTAATTATGGTCATGATTTAACATAACCATAATGATATAAAAAATTAATAAAAAAAAAGTTGAGAAATTAAAAATTAACTCAGTTTTATCTCATGATTTAACAATTTAAAAATTAATTATGGTTAGGAGAAGTTTACGTTCACGTGTCAATCCTATTTATTTTCCATTTTTCTCTTGCTATGTTTTTTTTTATATTTTAATTATTACTCGATATAAATATTTATTTTGAATTTTATTCTTATTTCGTTTGTTTGTTTTGACCTGAAATTTAGAAAATATTTAAGATTTAAAATAATTAAACAGATACATACATAGGTAAAGATCTGCACTTTATGCACAATAAGTATTTTATATTTATTATTTATTTTATATTTTTCTGCATATTATAAATAATAAAATAATAAATATATATATTAAATAACAAAGAAATGAGTTACTATTATGTAATAAATTGGCGTATGCATATATATTTAACTATTACTCTTGTTTATTCACAATTAGGGTAAATAAATCAAAATAATCAATCTTATATATTGTATATGATATATAATTAAATTTAAATGATATAAACATAGTAATATAGCACACTTTTAATATGGATATTTATTAAATGAGGTTTTTACTCATATGATTTTATGATTATTCGTATATTTGTGTAACAAAACTTTACACCAACAAATTTTTTTTAATGTGAGATGTTTAGTAGTTTCAATAATTTATAATCATTTAAAAAAACAATGACATATTTCAAAATTAAAATATTAACTTTTCAATATATGTTCAAGGGAAATATCAAAATATAAGTATGTATTTTCATACGATGTATAGTTTAATTAAAATGATATGAAATATATATAAACTAAAATTTTTTCTATATATGGTCTTATAATCATTATATTTTAGTATAGAAAAAAAAATTAAAACCTTGATCTTAAAATTTTATGTGGGACTTTTAACAGTTTTAATAATTTATACTCATTTTGAAAAATTCGAAATACAACATACACAAAAAAAAATCTAGAGTTTTATTATATGATTAATGTAATTGTGTAATTTATTTTAATAATAAAGAAAAAAACATAATTGAAAAAAGTATACAGATTGTTATCAAATCTTTATTGTTTAAAATAATTAATTGTCATATATATACTTTAATCACATTAGGTAATTCCGTAGGTTTTATTTAAGGAAAGCATGCTAGACAATAAATATTTGATATATGCGACCAACTATAGCATACGAAATATTATATTTCTAGAGAATATAATTTTTAAACTATACATTATATCACATGCTCTAGAATCCTTGGAATTTGAAATAGAAGCCAAATAGCTGTGCCACGTAGGATTGGGGTTATTTTTAATTCTTACAAACTTAAAGTTACAACTTTTTAAATGATTCTCAAATAATATATAGGGGATTTTGAGAGATCGGGTGTTACACGTTTGTAACTTCATAAGCAATGTTGAAATACAGATTTTGTCTTTATATGAGCAAATCTTATCACTAAAATGAATTTAGTTTACTGTTTTAGTCTTTTAGAACAAAAATATTTTATTTTGTATAACAGAACATGGTAAATATTCTAAACTTCTTGTGCTAAACACATAATGGGAGGCTTTGATTAAAAACGATAACTAAGAACAGTAACTTTGTCGCCTAAATGTTGAGGGAGAGTGTTACGATTGTGTTTAGCATAGCCAATGATATCTTCAAAATGTTGATCTGTATTATTTTTTGGCCTGAAATCTAAAGATTTAGAATTTGCATGGCAAAGGAAGGCTCATATAGTTACATGCACAAAACATTTTTAAAAGTATGTTACGCTGATGAAATCCTTTCTTGGATGAAGTCCCACATTGCTTTAATACTCGTGAAATGGTTAAAGCATTTCCGTTGTGTGTAATGATGTGGATCATGTGTTGCGTTAGCGTTGAGGATGTCTTTTGATGCCATAGTCTAAGAAGAAAAGAGAATGTTTACTTTTATATTATGTGCACCATTGACCTATTTTTGAAAACATTACAAAGCCGGATATCCAAGAGAGTATGATATCCATACACTAGGTTTAGCTTACTTGCTATAAACAAAAACAAATGATCACATCTCAAAATATCAATACGCCGTGCATCACCGTGAAGTAAAAGATCACTTAAATTCGTCATAGGAACTTCGAAATTTACCAAAGAAGCTTCTCGAAAGAGCATGTTACCTTCTATCATAGTACCATAACATAACGCCCCTGGCCTCTGTTAAAATCACCATGGATGTGTCCCAAAAGAAAATTGAGCCAGTAATCCAAAATAACTTATTACCTAAATGCATGATCATAATTCATACCTCAACTCACTGCTTTCCATGCCTGGTGTAGAGAAAACACATGATTATGAAACTCATACAACAAATACTTAAAAATATGATGAGACAAATAAAAACAGAGAACCTTTGAGTTCGACACTGCTGATGGACTGGTGCCACCTAGTGGCTGTAGGCCAAAGCCTTGAATAACATGTGCATGCAGTAGTGGATAAATTGTTCGATATAAAATAAAACTTTGAGATCATTTTTGCTTAGTACAAAAGATTCTGCAAACTAAATGAGAGAGTGTGAGCTTACAGAAGCCAAGGACATTGACAACCAATGTGTGAGAGAGATGAGTAGATACCTTTAAGTCACTTCCTGAGTAACCATCTCTCATATTAGCAATCGCTTCTAAATCAACATCAGGTGCTATTTGTTCTTTAGAAAGAATAACACTCAAGATCTTTGATCTGTTCATTGCATCAGGAAGATTCACCATAAATCTGAAACATAGAAGTATGCATTAAGCAATAGTTAAAACATGAAGAATCATCTATCATAAGAGACAGACAATGTAGGTTTACCTCCGGGGAAGCCGTCTAATAACTGCTTCGTCAAGGTCAAATGGTCTGTTGGTAGCAGCGAGTACCAGAACTCATTCTCTATCCTTTGTTCATAAACCGTCCCAGTTAACCATAAACTCGTTCTTCATTTTATGCATAGCTTCATGTTCCCCTGGATCCTCACGTCTTCCCAACATCCTATCAACCTAAATAATAAGGTTTTTTCACCAGTCATCAGAGAACAAGATATTAAATAAAATTTTAGCTTCAGAGAAGTGACGAAACAGAACATACCTCATCAACAAAAATGACACTTGGAGCAATCGTGTTTGCTAAAGAGAAGACATTTTTCACATACTTCTCTCCCTCACCAAATCACTATAAAGAATTCATATTATTAGATGATCTGCAAAAGAAAGTATAAGGACAGACTCAAACCACAGTTGGATAGATACCTATGAAGTTAATGTTGGACATTGAGATATTTTTATCTACTGTAGAATAAACTATTACAAAAATAATTATATTGGTCATCTCATTGTCTGAAGAAACACAAAGCTTCGTAACTCTATAATTTGATTGACGCTAACATTAACCATAGCCCATGTTCCAAATATAAAAAAACTGTAACAAAAGATCTAAGATAAGTCTTAAATGGACATATGAGGCAGATAAGCAAAGGTATTTTGATAGACTATGGATCAAAGTGGAACTTACCGAAGGAAATAGGGACCTGGGAATAAAGTTCAGACCTGAAAATTTGTTGATTTTATGGGCAAAAGGACAGAGAAGCTGAGACCTGAGCAAGAAGACCAACGCCATAATAAGAGTTTAGCACACTCAGATGGGTACAAAACACCATGATATAAACAGAATAGTTAACCATCAAGTAAACTACATTTCAGTATGAGTTACACAAAACACTAAGATACATTGCGCTTGAAGTAAATGATTTCAACAACTCCTGAGCACCTTAAGAAGGGGATGGAGATGGCCAGCATCAAGATGTTGTCCCTTAGCATTGAAGTTATACTCCTTGAATTCCAACTCTTTCCAGCTACATGTGAGTACCCATTTTCTCTTTCTTTTCCAATGCCAACAACATAATTAATACGTGTAGAAAACAAACATTAGGGATTAGTACTCACTTAGGTACATTTTCTCGAGTCAAGTCAGTAGCGAAAATCTTACTTTTGGAAGCATAATTAGGACCTTTTTCAACATCAGCATATCCTGTCCATCCCCTAATAAGAAAGGAAAGGAGGCAAGCTTTAAAACAATATCTCCCAAAAGATAAAAAAAATTACAAAAAAAAAGTGCAGGTAGTTACTGTGTTACTATAAGTTTCCTGGTTTTGAGAAAGTTGAGACTTTCTTGGTCAAGTTCCTGAAAGTTAGAAAGGCCAAGTTGTTCTCATAAATTATAAGAAGCTGGATTAGATTTCTACATAATAGTTCTGAATAAACAAACTAGTCCTTGTTGTATTGAAGAGACACCTTCACTTTATCTTCAATATGTTGAACCTAAAACAAAAGATTACAAAGCCAACATGATGAATAAAGAGAAGCCAGGACAATAAATACAATACCTTCCTAGATACTTGCTTTCCCATTGCAACCCACCTCTTTTTAGCAGCTTGTGTGCTTCCAGTTTTGAAAACAGAAGGATCTAGCATTTTCTGAAATAAACAAAAATAACAATTTTAAGACACACACCAGTGAAAGATAAAAGAGAGTATCAAAAGCATAGTAATCATCACCTCGAGATCATCCTTGGATATGCTACCTTCCTCAGGAATAGCCGAGAAAAAGTGAATATCCGGTGATCCTTCCGCCGCATATTTCTTCCCATCATCAGGCAAAACCAATGTCTCCCGTTTGAGTTCCTCCACAACGCATAGATCTGTAATTACCAATCGAAAGTGGTGGTGATACCTTAGCTTCGATGTAGAGGAAACCTTGTAAGCTCTTGATGACGTTTTTGACTTCTTCGTGGTCGAGATTGTGCTCCGCTGCGGATTGACCTGAATCTGGATTGATTTTTTGTTTTGCAGGAACCAGAGAATCACCGCCTCCGACATAAATGAGATGGGTAAAAAAAATTGCTCATGAAATTCTTAAACCTCTCATATTAATTTCAACTTGGTTACCTGAATTTTCAAGGAAAACAATCAAATAAGGATGACAATATAATCATCACTAAGAGGGAAAAGGATCAAAATCCAGAGTATACCTTTGAGCCCGAGTTCGTAAATTAATATGGACACTGAAATTGTTGCTTCTCTGGGACCGAAGAGAATGAAAAGTATTAAAGAAAGTCAGAGGGAGAGAGGCCTCATATTGTCGTGTTCCGTCACAGGAATTGATGAACTTAAAAATCAACTTCGAATTTGTTCATGGCCTTGTATGCGGAATTGGTGAGAAGACAGAAATCATAATCTTATTTATAGAGCGAAGCTTGAGATGTGAAGAGAGACGTCGTTTTAGGATGTAAAATAATGATGAAATTCATTGCAATAGGCGTTTGAGAGAGTTATTGACTTTCAGTAATAGGAGGAGAAGAAGAGAAGAGGAAACAACGAAGAACAGTTGATATACCATGGTTTTGACCCACTTTTAGCCATGGTATTGATATGTTTTTATAATATTTATATATGTTTTGGAGTCTACTTAGGTATGTTTTTAGGTTCAGGAGCATTTTGGAGTAAAGTGATGATTTAGGTGCCCTTATGGAGCTTAAAGAAGCGTTTTCCGAGATGACTATGAAGATCACATAACAAGGATACATATCGATCGATACACACCCTGTGTAGTCGATCGATGACGCTTCTATAGAAGATGAAGTCAAGATACACCATCGATCGATGTACACCATGTACCATCGATCGATATCAACCGTGGAGAACAAGTCTGACTTATCCGACTTGAAGCCCAAGTTTTCCCAGTATTACAAGATTGCCCCTGACGAGTTTTTAACCTAATGGAACTCATATTTATAGTTATGCCTATGTGTTTTGGCAAAGCATGCTCCTTTATGTTTTAATTTTTCTTGTGCTTTGTATGTTTTTGATACTATTTTATACTTAGCAATAAAGTATTCTTTTCATCTTAATTCTCAAAGGTTATAGAATTCTAGATTTAGAAGAAACACACAAAGAGATTTGTTGTTCCAAAGAAGAAGAGTTCAATCTTCTAATCTTATGAATTTCTATTATTACCTTCCTGCTATGAATCACTTAGCCATGTCTGAGTAGATTCATTTGTTAGATTTAGGGTTCAAATAGTTATGACGGATTAGCCCCAACTATGGAATGTTGAGTTGTGATATTCATTATCCAGATGAACCCTAATGCTTACTCTAGAGTAGCTAACTAGAGTATGATCATGGAGTGATTTAACTTGTTAATAATTATCCTGAAATCATTTGGCATAAACTTAGATCCTCTAGGGATATGCAAGAGCCAGTCTATGATCTTGGTGAACACAGTTTCGATTCGATCTTATGCTATATCAATCGATACTCCTATAGAGTTATCGATCGACGGCAACCCATATCGTCCGATATCGCTGTCAAAACATTGGTCGATATTCCCGGCAGTAAGATCAATGGACAAGTCTATATAGCGACTGCTATTATATATGTCTAAGAATCGAAGTTCTTACATATCTTGCAAGCAACTTACTAAAATATCTGTAGCATAATCCTGATTATCTGAATAGCAACCTTGAATCTAACTACTTTCTTTTACTGTTTTAAAACTAAACCTAATCTCTTGAGAAACTTATCATTGCTAACAACTGCAATTTACTATTTTAAACTGAATCAACCTAGCATAATCATTTAGGTTTACATCATTTGTGCTCCTCAGTTCCCTGTGGATTCGATCCTTAAGTACTAAAACTGAACCTCTTATTTGAGAGAGTAATTCATTCCTTATGGGTTAAATATTTGAGTGATATCAAATTAGGCGCCGTTGCCAGGAACTTTGATAGCCATTAGATTTAATATGATTAGGTCTAGGTTATTTTTTCATCTTCTGACACAAAAACATTTTCTTGTCTTTTTCAGGTACATGCCCAGAAGTACTAGAAGCAACAAGAACAACCAACTTGTGTACTCAGAAGACCCTCACAGTTTGGAACGTAGCATCCGCAAAGACTTACGTTCCGCATCGATCAACGTCAACACCTCTGTCGACCGATACTCGCCTACCATAGTCGGTCGAGACACCTTCTTCGTCGACCAATACCCTCACCATCACATCGATCGACATCAACAACTGTTCATCGACCGATACCTTTCATCTGACATCGATCGATACACCTTATCTTACATCGATCGATACTAACCGGCGAGACATGGTAGCGCCTATTATTATCACTACCGATGAGAATGGAGACCTGCGTGATCAAGATGGTCACCTGTGTAATCCAGCAGGTCATAAGCTAAACGCTCAAAAGGAGATCATTCCTGAGCAAGAAACTGCACCTACAGACATCAGTCAACCTCTAGAAGAGGCTAACCAAGCTAGAAATTTGGCTGACTACAACCGTCCGGATCAGTTCTATTCCAACCGATCAGCCATCTGCCCTCCTGCTATTCAGAGAGGAGATTTCGAGCTTAAGCCGTAGTACTAAACACTTGTAGGACAAATACCCTTCTGTGAGTTGTCCCATGAGCATCCTATGGACCATCTGGAGAGGTTCGAGGATCTCATCACCATCATAAAAGCCAATGGAGTCCCTCAAGACTATCTTCTCTGCAAGCTATTCAAATACTCTCTATCTGGAGAAGCTTTGCAGTGGCTGAGGCAACTACCACCAGGTTCTCTCACAACCTGGAGCGACATCAAAATTGCATTCCTGCGTAACTTTTTTGATGTGTCACGCGCTGAAGAGTGGAGAAGAAAGATTGCTACATTCACCCAGAATCCTGAAGAGTCATTCAAAGATGGATGGAACAGATTCAAGTCATACCAACGAGATTACCCACACCACGGATTCAACAAAGTGCAACTGCTTTGCACTTTCTACAGAGGCATCACCTTGGATTATCAAAGAGGTCTTTATATAGCTAGTGATGGCAACTTCAACACCAGGAATCCACAAGAGGCTGTGAAGTTAATTGATAACTTAGCTTCCAGCAACAGCACAAAGAACTTTGTGAAGACAAAAGCTACATCATTCCTTGGGAAGGAATACATCAATGAAGTGCAAGCACAGCTGGATACCGTTCACAAGTTACTAAACAAGCAGATTTGTTCAGTGGAGGATGCAGACACTGCAGGTGAAGATTATACAGAAGAAGATGTGAACTGGATCAGTGGAGCTGGTTTTCAGAGATCTGGTAACCAAGGAGGATACAGAAACTTCACAGGCCAAAGAAGCAACTTCAACCAGAGTTCATAGAAACCCAACACCTTCAGCAGCAGCAACCCCAACAACAACAGGAGCTATGGGAACTCATTCTACTCAAACCCACACGCACCCACCCAAGACAGTAAACTAGAGGAGATGTTAGACAAGGTTCTTGAGAGTCAGCAGAAACTTCAGACAGACTTCAATGGAAAGATTGACTCCGTCTACAACACCCTCACCACAAAGCTAGATGCTTTAAACACCCATGTGAAGAAGCTAGAGACTCAGGTGTTTCAGACAGGAGAAGCCCTAAAGAAACAGAATTTTGCCAACAACCATAACATCAATGCCATCCTGGATGATGATTTTTGGCAAGAGGTAGTAGAAGAGATTCAAAGATCTGATGATGAGAGAGACTTCGTTCGCGACTATTATCGATCGATTTCATCCCGTGCTCATCGACCGATACAATCCAGAGTACATCGATCGATAGACTTCGATTAGTGACGATCGATGGACTTAGACGAATACCTTCACGAGTGCAGTGCCGTCAAAACTATGCCTCACGAAGTTTTCGCAGCACGACACCCACATCCGCCCGCCCCTGTCAAAATCGATATGCATGATATCGATCGACATGATAACCCTCCCATCGATCGACGGGAAGACCTTGATATCGACCGATGCACTCCTATTAGTGTCGCCCGATACACGGTACCCCAACGCCGAGTGCAACTTCCCAAGATAGATAGTGCACGTATTGACGCAATGCAAGAGCTGTATTACACTTCTAGAAGCCCTCAAAAAGCCATCATGGAAAGACCCATGGATATCTTTGAGTCTATGGAAATCGAAAAGGAAAATCATTGAAGAATTCTCAGAAAAAGGAAAGATAAGATACCCAAGCCTTTAAAAGGGAATCTAATGAGAAAGAATTGTAAAGCTTCATAAAGAAAGTTCTGAGCATACTTAGAGAGAAACCCTTTGAAGAAGCCTACTTTTCACACAGATTGTGGATGTTTTCAGAGAGACCAGAGAGACAGAAGAAGACATCAAGAGAATGTTTCACCAAGTTAGAGACAGTCTAAGGAAGAAGATCACACTGGAGAAGAAGAGCGATCCAGGGAAGTTCACAATACCATGTTCCATCAGAGGTGTTGGATTCCCTCGTGCCCTATGCGACACAGGATCTAGAGTTAGTATCATACCCAAGCTTATGGCAGACCAGCTAGGTCTGAAGATAGAGCCTACTAAAGAATCTTTCATCTTTGTGGATTGTTCTCAGCAGAACTCTGGAGGAATAGTTAGAAACCTCGAGGTACAGATTGAAGATTCCTTAATTCCTACAGACTTCGTACAGATTAAGTACGACTTCCTCTCCCATCCTTCATCTTCGGAGCATCGACCGACAGAGACCACCCTCTATCGACTGATATGCCCCAGCCCAGATCGCTCAAACGACGTTTCGAATCAACGAGCGACAAACCATACTGTGCACCAATCTATGTCCCACATGAGCCACACGATGGGGATTACTCGATTGGAAGTTGGGAAAGCAGTTACCATGAGAATTTTGCAGTGGATACAACACCACTACCATCTGCGATCCGACCTGAAGCACATGTATCGACCAACACGGAGCACCAACCATTGATCGACATGTTCCTCAACAGATCGACCGATGCACCTGCTATCCCATCGATCGATAACACCAACACAACAT